AGAACCTCATCGAAGTCACAACAGTATGTTCCCTCTACTTTACAGGTATGAAAACAGGCTTACAGACGTCACTTGTACATAATCACAGCCTGATAGGTAGCAACATCAGGTTTCAAGTTAAGGCTCTCATGCAGGAAGACATTAACCACCCAACTAGGGGGCAGACACGGCCATTTTTCAGGTCCCGCCAATCTAGTGCTTTCACAGGAAACTGCCCTGGAGGACAGTGTCCAGATACCCCAGAGAGCCCGGGAGGAGGGAGGTCAGATGGCCACTAGGCAGAGTGTCTGGACTAGAGAGCAGGCTCAGCTCCTCTGCCTCCAAGGCCAGGCCAAGCATCAAAGGGTATACGCCCCCCAGACACCCCAGGAAACACTGATATGTACTTCCCACTGAACCAGAAAGTGTCCCATCTTTGTCTCTAGCACCCTCATTCCCAGCACAAGGAATTCAGGCAAGCCTGCACCTGGGTGAGGGTCTTTCTCCATTTGAAAGCCTAACCTTCGCCATCTCTTAATTACCAGCCCCTTCAGGAAACTCCATGGCCACGGAAGCTGCTCCTCTCCAGTTCGGGACCCCTCGCCATTCTGGGCCAGTCTTTCCCAACCCCTCTCAGTACATGAGGAGGATGAACTGGTAGACCCACTTGCTCAGACCCTGCAGGCTCCGGGATAATTCCCAGGGATGAGTCAGAGATGTTGAGATGAGTTGGGGCGTCTGCTGGCTTAGAAACATGCCCAACTTACAGGCTATTTTCAGGACATGATGGGGTGTGGGTGGGGTTAGGATAGCAGATGCCCAGGGACTCCTCCCACTAATTTGAGAAGCACAGGGGTCTCTGCTCAAGAGGACACCGGACACAAAGGCGGGCAGCATGGCCTGCAGAATGGCCCAGCAGGCTGTCCAGGTGGTGCAGAGCAAGCCATCATGTCCATGAATGTCAGGACCTTATGTAAAGTGGGTAAGTAATTCACTGCTGAGCATAGCAAGTCTCAGAATGTGTTAGTTCTTGTCACCCTCAGGACTTTGCATGATCCCAGCTCCCCAGTCATAGGATCTGACTCAACTCACAGCCCAGCTGTAACTGTCCTCTGTTATGTGGTAGACTGTGAGACCTTGGGAAGTGACTTAGCTTCTCTGGGACTTCAAGTTGTGTCCTGAAGACAGAACAGGAAATGGCTAGCCCTGAGCCAGGATATATAATCTCTGCATCTCAATAAACAGAATCTCCATTTACCTCTCCATCCCTCTGCGCACCCAGGTTTGTGTTTCTCAGGGGGGCGGGGCCTGGGGTAAAGCAAAAAGTGGAGGCCAGAGTCCCCAGCTTATGGGAGTAAATCTGGGTGGGGCTGGCCATGTGGAAGATGGGCCAGGCCCTGCCAGGCGACCCAGCCCCGTGGCTGGTGTTCTGAGTTCCTGGGCTGGTACATAAGTCAATAATGCCCAGCTTTCAGTTGGAAAGATTTCCCCGGTCCCAGGTCCAGCGGCACCAGAGACAGATTGGTAAATAGCACCGGGGACATAAGGGATGGGGACAGGTAGCCAGCACGGCTGCAGCTGCCAGAGCAAACTGGGCAGATGGAAGCCCAGGCTCGAGGCTCCGGCTTCCCACCAGGATCGCCGGAATGTGCACTAGAGCTCCTCCCTGTGGCCTGCACGCCAGCTCCCCCTCAGCCCACGGACACTGGCACAGGACAGGAACTCTGCAACGCTGGCAGACACGTGACCACCGGGCCAGCAGCGTGTGCGGCCGCCCTGCCTACCTCACCAACAGTGGAGACCGCAGGATCTAGGTGACCTCACGTCCAGGCTGCACCACTGCCAGGCTCATCTGCACCTCAGTTTCCTCATTTCCTCAACTAGCCGTAAGTGCTCCAGTCCTAACTCCTGGGGCTTGTATAAATCTTCTGGGATCATCAATATGAAGGAGGTGAGGAGGGAAGAAGAGAATTAAGAAGCACTGCCCTTTGTCATCTCTTTTAACGATTCCAAAAGTCGGGTACTCTTCTCACCCCCTTCACAACTCGGTGTGTGACGGTCCAGAAAGCCTAAGTGGCTCCAGACGCGGGCTCTGTGCCTGTTCACATACATCTTTCACACTGTGCTCACGGCTTCGGGAAAGCTCTTCACCAAAGCGGGATTTTACAAAAACCTCAGGTCATGAGAGCTTTTCCCTTTGCACTCTGCCTCTTTTTCTTGATGTGCAGAAAAGAGAACTACACAGTGTGCTCTTTTCTGTAGACTCAGACAATCAAAAATCCAACCATCTGGGAGAGCAAGCCGAAGAAAGTGAGACCTGAACCTTCTCAAAGGGAAGGCGTTCGAGGCAGGGCGGCAGTATTTGGGTTGGATGTGACCTTGCTATCATAATGCAGATGAAGCCCCAAATTTAATAAGGCTAAGGCAACTCAGACAATGTAAGAAACAAAACAGGACATTGCACAGAGATTAGGGAGCTTCCTCTGAATGGTGCAGCTGGGCAGAGGAGAGGGTGGGGGATGAACAGTGCAGTCTGCCTGGTCCAGGCAAGTCCCGGGCCTGAGCCTGGTCTGGAAACTGAAGCCGGACACAGGGCCGTGGACTCCTCAAGGCACCTTGAGGCCTGCCTGATGCAGAAGCTTGGCTAAATGTAAACCAGCTGCGAGGACCAGAGTGTGAGAGCTGGCTGGGCCGGGGAAGGCTTACCTCATGAAAGAACCATAGAAAGGGCTGCTGGAAAGATAATAAAAGGATTAACTGCTATTTTAGTGGGCCATTTACTCTTCAATCAAAATGTCTCATCTATTTCCTGTTCTCCAGAGGCTCTGGGTCCAAAATTCTTTTGTCTATTACAGCACATGGTAGCAGAGGCATGTCATGAGAAATTAATAATTTTACAGGGAAGGGAGATTTTATTTCTCTGGGTGCAAACTTGGGCTCACCCCTTCCCCTGGGTTACCTACTGGGCCAGTATCACGGGCAGGGGGAGCACTCCCCTGGCAGGTAGGGAGGGGCTCAGAGGAAATCTCTGCTACCATCTCCAGATGATGGCATTAGTAGGGTTGGCCCTAAGACCTGGGAAAAGCCAGTTTAACAGAAGAACATCTATAAGAACAAGAGCATCACTATTTAGAAAAATGTAGGTTCAACTTCTTCTCTGATGGTTGGGCAAGTTATTTTTATAGTTATCATTTCTATGCTTATTACATTCTATTATTGTTGTTGCTCTAACTAGCTGTGTGACCTGACCTGGGGCAAATGATAAAAATCTCTGAACCTCAGTTTCCTCATGTGTAAAATGAGGGGGCTAATCATACCCTACTCACTGGACCTCTATTTCTCAAGCTGGAAAATGGTCAGGGGAGGCCTAGACCATCTTCAAGGTCCCTAATCTCCAACACAGACTCTGGGATTGTGTGATCCCACACAGAAGGCCATGTAACCTCCACCATAGGCCCCCGAAACACAAGGGGGCTCACCCCCAGGATAGCAGACCTGGAGGAGAACCACGGCACAGCAGCTATCAGCAACAGCATATCAGAGAAAGACAGAGGCAGTGGCCTGCGATGCCTGCGATGTCTGTTGGCAGACCCCCTCCAGGCAGGAGCATGCCTTTCAGCAAGCTGCATGTCATGAAGCCCCGAGTGAACTCGGGTGTCCCCAGGACTGGCCCAGTCACCAGCTTTCCCTCCAGTATACTTTCAGCCCAAAGACATGACAAAGTCAAATTCTCAGCCTGCTCAGTCCAGCCGCACCCCTCCACACCAGCACATAAACCACATCCATTCTTTTCAAACATTGTTTACTGCCCCTCACTGGTCTATAAAATGAAGTCCATATCATTCTCAAGACCCTTGAAACTGGTCCAGTTGGATGCCCAGCCCACAGGTCCTCAAGCAGATGAGGCTCCAGGGACAAGCATCAGGTGCAGGAAGGCTGGAACTCACACTGCTGGCTGCTGAAGTTTCCGGCCTGCCCCCCACCCTTCCGACTGCTTCCCCAACTGAGCATGCCACCAGGTGGGCCCAGGACAGCGACGGCACACGGGTGTAGAGGGCCTCAACCTTGGCTCTGACACCAGCCCTACAGACCAGACACACTGCTTCCTTCCTCTGCCTCACTAAAGCCAACAGTGGGGCCAACAGTTGGGCCTTGGTGGTTCTACCAGCCTGTCCACTCCCAGGCAAGGTGCCTGTCCTGGTGGGCTGGCTGGGCTGTGGGGAGCAGGCATGTGGCTTGGCTGAGGATAGCAGAGACAAAGACTATTTTCCCAGCCTCTGATACTGATTTCCACCATAGTCAACAGAACATAGACGTGAGCAGTCAGAAGCACGAAGCCCTTCATGCCTACATTTAACTTGGGTGTGTGTGTGTGTGTGTGTGTGTGTGTGTGTGTGTGTGTGTTTGTGTCCTGGGAAACCTTAGTCTCAACCCCTGCTAGAACACCACAGGTGCTAGTCAGGGCCTTGTCTCCTATCCCTTTGCCTTGCCCCAAAGACTGCCCTGGGGACCCACAGCTCTCAGGCCAGGTGCCTCTAAGGACCAGTTCTTGGAGGATTGTGGGTTGAAGCTGCTCCAGGAGGTGCACGGAGCATCCCTGGGAAGGATGCCAGGTGAAGGCCCAGCTCTGGAGGACAACGTTGACCTACAACTCACTCGGCTATCAGCAGTTGGGACACTGAGCATCTGCATATAAGAGAAAAATCTGCCCAAGCCTGCTTTGACCTCAGAGCACATGTTACTACCTGATTGAGTATGTGTAACACTAAGTCATGGGGTAGACCTTGGGGTGGGGGACAGGGCACCTGGCAAGTATGAAGAGCCCTCTGCCAAGGTTCCCTGTGACAGAGGCTCTGACCATCTTAACAACCATAGCACTATTCCCTCCCCCTCGACCTCAGGGGATCTCAGCCAATCCCCAGGTAAGAAGTCCCAGGTAGACCTCTCCTGGGGCAGAGAGGTGGGTTCCTCTGCAGGTCAGTCGGGCTGGGTGGGCTGGCCTGGCGGCCATAGGAACTCACCATGCACTTGTTGGGCTTCTCACCCGAGTGCACCCTCATGTGGATGAGCAGCTTGTAGCGGGCGTTGAAGGGCTTATAGCGGCGCACGCAGCCTGCCCAGAAGCAGGTGAAGTCCTCACCCTTGCGCTGGTCAATGTGGCTCTTCTCGATGTGCCGCACCAGCTCCTCCTGCTGCTCATAGGCTGCACAGCAATCCACCCAACGGCAGGCCTGCCGCCCAGCCACCACCCTGCCTGCCAGGCCTAGTCCCAGTCCCAGGCCTCCAAGGCCTGGGCCAGCCGGCAACTGAGACAGGGGGTATGGGGGCGGCAGGCCCTGCTGGTGAGGCCCAAAGAGCTCTGAGAACTCGTCTGCCGGCTCCTGCTTCAGGTAGCCCACCTTACGGCAGGTTTCAAGTTGCAAACTGCCCTCATGGCTCTCAGTGGATGAAGGGCCAGGCTGGGTCCGCTTGGGAGGGCCTCCCAAGTCTCCCGGCAGAGGGGGGCTCCGGAGTCCATTTACGCAGGTGACCAGAGCTGCCTGGGAGGAACGGACGATGGATGTGACGTCAGAGGCACAGGGTGAAGAGGCAGTGGAGGAGGTGGGGGGCAGGCCCAGGAGGCAGCAGCGCTTCAGGCTGCCCTCAGGAAGGTGGGCCTCAGGCGGGGGGCCCAGGCTGGAGCTGGGTTCACCACCCAGAAGGTAGCAGGAAAGTGCAGGGTTGGCGAGGCCTCGGCTGGGGAGGTCCAGGTCTGTGTGCAAGCCGGTAGCTGGCGGGGCCCGGCAGTGGGCAGACAGGGGCGTGCGAGCTTCTGTCATAGCCCGGTAGTCAGGCAGGGACTCCTGCTTGATGTGCTGTGAGGTCGGGAGGCCACCGTTCACATAGGAGGCCTGGGATCTGGGCGACCTGGAAGACAGTGACCAGAGAGACCATGAGAGGGTGGGTGCTCCACAGTGAGGGGGGCCAGGCAGGGGAACCGGGGATCTCAGGACCAAGAGATGGAGAAATTCATAGCAAGAGAAGAAGGACGAGGGCTGGAAGCAAAGAAAGAGTGAGACGAGACACTGGTCTGGCTATTGAGGAAAAGTATGGAGAAAGTGGGGGAGGAAGAAGAAGAGGTGGGGAGCTGGGAGGAAGCAGGAGTTCAGAAGAGAACAGGAAGGCTGCTTGTGTGTCCACAGTCAGAGTAGGATGCCCGAGGTGTCCTCAGACCTACCCCTATCTGAGCCTCAGTCTCCTCACTGGTGAGGTAGAAAGGATAAATGCTCTCTACTTCAGAGGGGCTGCCAGGATCAAGTGAGATGACAGATGGGCAGAGGATGGCAGAGCCACTGGTGCCATCATTACTGCCATCATTACTGCCACCATCCTCGGCTCTTTGGGGCCAGGGCTGTGAGGTCATCATGGGGCCCGGCAGCCCCAGCCCTCCCCTCTGGCTTCCTGCAGCTGTGGCATGAGTGCAGGGGAGAAGAATGGGCAGGGAAGAATAAAGGCCAGGAGCACAGCCCCAACCCCATCCCTATACATAAGGGGAAGCCAGGAGGGCACAAGGCCACACTCACGAGCTGCAAGCCAGCTAAGGTTCAGGGGAAGAACCCAGGCTCCCTTGTCCTGGGTGTGTGGAACCCACCTAAAGAACTTCCTGGATAAAGACTGGGGGGCGGGGGGAGTCCTCTGTGCATTTCTCCACTACACTTGGCCAGGTTTCAACTTCATTCACCGCACACCTCTCTTACCTCCTAGAACGCTGCTGCCCAGCCTCAGTCACTGGGTGCAATCAGGAGCCTGGATTCCAAGGCAGACAGCAAACATTTACCCTTCCCCAGGGCTGGAAACACCAGCCCCAGCATTGCCAGAAGGCTCTGGGAATCTTAAAGATCTGCTATGAAAACTGTGACTTTATGGAGTTTATTTTTTACAAAAAGAAAAGCATAGCTGCTGCAAAGGCTAAGATGTGAAGATACATGATTGGGGAAGGGACCCAAGATACAAGGCAACCTGGTGAGAGGGAGAGGGCACAGGAGCCAGCTAGGTGTGGGACAGGGGCTGGGGAGCCCTCTTTTTCTTTAGGAAAATTAGGGTGTCTGAAAGTCAGATGAAATCAAACACCTCAGCAGCAGGGGTAGCAGCAACTCAGGTTAATGCCAATGTAGGGTTCTGGGGACAGGCTCTCCTATGGCCTAAATTGTCAACATGACACTCCAAATGACAAAGGAGATTTCTGGTCTATCTATCTATGTATCTATGTATCTATCTATCTATCTATCTATGTACCTATCTATCTATCTATCTATCTATCATCCACTTGTTTACTAGCTTTCTCTAAGTTAGCATAGCTTCCATCCTGAGCTGGAAAGAATTTCACTGGAGAAGCTGATAGTGCTGGGAAAGCCTAGTGAATAAGCCAGCAGATAAATGCATGGGACTGTGAATAAACAATGCACAGCTAGAAGTTTAAAAGATGCTTGCTCCTGATTACACAGTGTGAAAACTGTGTAAACAAAACTCACGTGTGAAGCCCTGTGCTCCAATTGACCTTATCTGGAGAGATGGTCTTAGGGAAGCAAGGGAAGTAATTAAAATTAAATGAGATCATAAAGGTGAGGCCCTAACCAAGTAGGACTAGTATCCTTATCAGAAGAGGAAAAGACATCAGGGTCAGTGCCCAGAGGGAAGACCATGTGAGCCCACAGCAAGAAGGCCGTGTCTGCCAGCCAAGAAGAGAGGCCTCAGTAGAAATCAACTCTGCTGACACCTTGATCTTGGACTTCCAGCCTCCAGAGCTGTGAAAAAATAAATGTTTTTGTTTAAGCCACCCAGTGGTATTTTGTGATAGCAACCCTAGAAGACTAATACACTCCTAAAAATCAGAAGTCTCGCTAACATCAAAGAAGGTCACAAGGTATCTAAATTCTCAAGAAAACTGATTCCACATGGAAGAATGCACATCCTTTTTTTTCACTAATATTTCCCACCACGGAGCTCCCATTGGAACGTAAACTCCATCAAGAAATCTCTGCTACCTTCACAAAGGCACCCAGCACCAATCACAGAGCTTGGCACACAGCAGGCACTTGATTAATGGCTGGTAACAAAATGAACTGCAAGAGGCAACTGGGCCAGTGTTTAGGATCTTGTGAATAGGCCTCAGGTCAGCAATCCCAGGCAGTGGGCTGAGAGACCTGGGCAGAGTGGGTGGGCGCAGAGGACTGTTTGTGGTTGGAGAACCAGAGGACACAAAGGCGCAGCTGGGACTGCAGGAGAAGCAACAGGAGGCAGATCTGACTGGACCTCTGTTCAGGTGGTCATCACTGGAAATGTGCAAGCACTGAACAATGGCTACCTGGCAGGGTTGTGGGGGTGCTGGCTTCCTGGGGCAGGAGATGGCCCAGGGTGGAGGAAGCCACTCTATGAGGAGTCCAGGGTTTGACACCTTATGGACTCTAAGCTGGGTTTTCCTTCTCCATCCTACCCCTGAATCCTCTTCTTCTGAAATCACTTGTTCTCCATGAACTTACTGATTCTCCACTTCTGCAATGGGGAAAGGCACCTCAATAAAACCATCTTTGTCTTCCATGAGGCAGCATCATGCAGAAGGTGCACTACTGAGCTCTGGCAGTCTCTGGGCCTTCCTGTGTGTCCCATGAGCCAGCACATGAGGTGAGGTCCCGAGGCTTTGGCCTGGAGGAAGTGTCCACAGATGACACCCATGGGAGAGAATGAAGCACATACCTGCTAGGGTGGGGGAAATGCAGCAGCCTCTCACAGGCTGGGGGGTGGCCCCGGGGCGGTGGGGTTCCTGACGAGAGAAACAGGCCTTGGCGGCAGGTGGGACCAGGGCCTTCAGCAAGGTCCAGGTCCAGCAGGCTCTTCTCTGAGCCGGAGGTGCAATGGCCGTAGCTCCCATTCACTAGGCAGAGAAACACAGAAGACACAGTGAGTGGGAACAGCCTGCAGAGGGGTGTAGGGAGAGGGCAGTCTGGGTCCAGTGTGGGACAGAGTCACCCAAGCCAGCACTAACTAAACCCCTGTGGCATTTGAGGTACCGGAGATATCTCATTAAATCCCCTAAGCATCACGGACCCAGTAATAACCCCGATTCTGAGATGTGGGCGCTGAGCTCAGTGGTCAAATGACCATCACGCACTTGCTGAGCACTCAGAGGACCAGACACCCCCATGGTTCTGCTAGCTAGACAGAGGGGCTCCTGTCTCTGGGAGCTCACCGGCCATCAGCCCCACGTCAATCACCTGGTGCTCCTTTGACACATGCTAGGCATGTGCTCAGGTGGGTGGGCTAGAGCTGAGCTGCCCGGCAGGCGAGGGGGGGCGTCACTGACATGTGTGTGTCAAGAAGTCGGTGCTCACTCAACAGCATCAGTCCCAGTTACTGCCAACTCAATCTACACTAGTTCCCAAGTCCTGTTACACCACAGAAACAGCCATTCACACTCTGTATCCTCCATGCTGCCTGACTACCACAGGCTCTGTCCTGTCCAGAGACTGGGTTTTTCTGAAGATTAATTGAAGATTAACTTACACCCTGTCAGTTGGCACAGTTATGCTAAGGAGGAAAGGACGCAGGCTTGGGGCCTCTGTATGAGCCCCGATGGCCCCCAATCAAGTCCATGACTCGGACGTGTCCTTCCCTGAGGTGACCCTCTGCCCCCTGCTAAAATGGAGATAGCCACGCCAGTTTCCCAGCGATGTTGGGAGGTGTTGAGTGCCACCGTGCAGCCCGTAGCACGGCAGGTGCACCAGAAGTGGAAATTATTCTTATTGCAAAATAACATTCACTGGGAAAGGGTAAGGTGCCATCTAGATGCAAAAAAGCATTAATAAGCGGCTCAAGTGTTATCCAGGTACTGTCCACACCGAGCAAGGCAAACCATGAAGATGAGAAAAGAGGTGGTACCAGAGCAACCAGCCCCTTACTGTGAGGACAAGAACAAGAGCAGGCCCTGGGAAGGCTGGAGCTTTGCACCCCATCTCAAGGGAGCCTCTCCACTTCCCTCTGGGTAAGTCAAGTATTATTATCCCCACCGTACAGAGGAGAAAACAGAGGCTCAGAAAGGTTAAACCAGTCACCCAAGATCACACAGCTGGGCAGTGTCTGTGTTCTGTCAGACCCAAGCCCCCAAGTCACAATGCAATCAAAAGTGACCTCTTCATAATCAAACCACTCTTGAGGTGCCACCCAGGCCCAATTCCAGCCCACCCCCAGGCGGCACCTTCAGCATACGGTTATCCGGTTATCCCAATCCAATGCCAGAGCCACTCAGGCTAAGCTGCCGTGTCTGAGGGCTCTATGCAGGAAGCCCAACTACCACAGACTCTGCACACTTTACAGTGTGCAGACGAGAATGCAACACTCTCGAGGTGCCAGGGAAGGTGAGGGGTTCAGAAGAGTCTCAGGTTCCCAGGAGCAGGCCAGCCTGCTGGCCAAGGCTCCAGTGAGGATTTGCTCAGACTCGGCCTTCAGCGCCCCCTTCCCAGACCAAGCCAGCCTGAATCCTGCTGTGAAGAACACTCACTCCTGCTGGCTTTGGCTGCTGCAGGACCAGCCCCTCACACGCTTATTTTTTAATAACTTGGTTGTTTTTTAATTAAAAAGAAATCCCTGGTAACAAATGTGAACGGCCTGAGTTAATGAGAGCAGGCTGCCGCTCGTTTAACTCCGTCTCTGCTTGGCGGTCTTTGCTTTTCCAAATCGTTTCTGCATGCGATTTTATTGTCCCATTGAGGCAAATCCCGGGACTAGGCCTCAGAAAACTGTGGATAATTTTATGACCATTAATAGCATTTGGAGCAGAGAGCACTTAATCATCACACGCTCTGCCAGGGTCTTTCTCCCAGAATCCTTGGGTTGGGGAGGCAGTTTTAAGCTTCCTTCAAGGACCCACCAGGCTTGGTGGGAGCCTCAAGCCTCTGGGTTACTTACTGGCTTCTTCACTTAGGTGGATGTATGGAGCGATGGATGGCGGATCCCCAGAAAGGCACCAAGGAGCCCAGCATTTATCAACCCTCCCATACACGCAGGCACATTGATCCCTGCGAGGCAGGCCTATGATATAGCACTTTCCAGATGAGAAAAGCTGAGGTTTGGGAGGTTAGGTGCCTCTGACTAGGGCTCATGGGCCAGGGACCACCATTCAAACCCAAGGGTCTCAGACCTCAACGCCCAAACTCTGCTGCCTCTCAACCAACCGATGAGTAAGTGGAAACCCCCATCCCGCCAAACAGGCATCCCATCTCGTAACTCCACTGAAGTCTGTGCTAGGGAGGCTTCGGGAAGTCCTAATACACCATCACAGTGAGTCCTACCCCTCAATCTTTGTGACACTCTGCCAGGTGGGAAAAGCCACTCCAATGATAGTGGAGCACACAGAGCCTTGGAGTTCAGTGGTTAAGCCAAGGTCACACGGGGAGTAAGAGGCTGAGCTGAGAGGACAACCCACGACCTCTGTGGGAAGAAACAGTCATTACTTGACAAACAACAGGGGCCTGTTGGTTTCTTCTCTGATGGATACAGTTAGAGGTTTTCCTCGACAAATAAGCAAGTGGCTTTGGGAGGGGGTGGGAGGAAGGAGGCCCTAGGGTCACAGTGTGGCACTGATGGGGGTCCAAGCTTATTCTAGCCCCTGTCCTGAGTGGTCCTCAAGCATTCTGGATAAAAGCATCGGCCTCCCCATCGCTCAGGGACATAAGCTGGCAAGTGGTTGTCCAAGGTCACATGGCTACTGCTGGCAGAGTTGAGGGCCAAACACAGGTCCCCCAGAGCCCAAGCCAGACCCTGTCCCAGGTCTCAAAGGATGGAAACTCAACCAGAAGCTGTCTCTTGTGTCCCAGAGATGCTGCCACCACCGTAAATGTGTGGGTATCGCCACGGTGCCCTCCACAGGGCCATGTGGGGCAGAAGACCCTCCACTGCTCTGCTACCTATTGGCAGCTTGACTCTGTCCCCAAGGGCATCACAGGACATGCCCCTACTTGCTCTCCATCTCCAGGGAGCAAGCATGGAGATGCTCTGGGGAGATATGGGAGCCAGAGGGGCATATCAGGTGCTGCCCTGAGACTGGGGGTGTCCTCAGTAGGAGCTGACATCCAGCAGCCATGTTCCCCTCTATTACAGGGGGCTGAGAACAGTCCCCAGACCTGGATTTCCCCACATAAATGAACCACCTTTGGAGCTCTGGATGGTGAGGAGTGCTGTGTTCATTTTTAGAGATTGATGAGAAATCCTGAAGTATCATGGCCGGGCCAGACTGATCATCTATTTCATTAATAGGTGAAGCAACTGAGGGTCAGCAAGGGAAAGCACCTGCCTTGGTTGCACAACAAATGCACAGCAGAACCTGGCAGGCACCTGGGGCTAGGTAAGAATCTGGTTCACGCTTCCCCTTCAAGTCTCAGCTTTCTCATCTGTAAAATGGTGCTGAAACCCACCTCACAGGAGTGTGGTGACAATGAAGTGAGATTATGAACATAACGCATTTGGCACATGCCTAGCTCACAGTAAGCACTCGAGAAGTAATGACGAATGATTTCTTCTCCTCAAGTTCAGGCTGGGGCCAGGAGGCAGGCCCTGTATGAAAAACATTCTCTCTCCACAAAGGTCAGGTCTAGATGACCGCGAGGCCAGACTCAGAAGGACATGCTCCAAATGATGCAGGACTGGGAAGCCTGAATGAGGTCACAGCTAGCAAATCTGAAGCAAATGGCTCCAGTTACACACGAGAGAACTTTGCAAATTACCGTAATGACTTGCCTATAAAGCAGTGCCACATATAAGGTGACTCCCCACAAGAATTTTAATTTACGCTAAAACCTGCCAAGTCTGCATGAGGGACAATGATGCATTCAGCATCCAGAGCCCAGATGCCGCCTCCTTGCAGTCCCAGGAGCAGCCAGCAGCCAGGGTGTAGGAAGGCTTACCTGATGACTACTCCTCATTCACCGAAAAGCAGACTTTCATGCCCACCAGGTACCAGGCAGGCAACAGGGAATCACACTTTACAGCCTACAAAATATTTTACAACCATCAGCTCTGGAGCTTTACTGCAACCCTCAGGAGCTGGCAGCACAGGCTCAGAGGGGGCAAGCAATTTGCCCAAGCTCACACAGCAAGTATATAGCTCAGACATTTAGTCAGCAAACTTTTTCTGTTATGGGTAAGGCGGTAAATATCTTAGGCTTTGCAGGTGATGCAGTCCTTGCCACAACTACACAACTCTGTATTATTGTACCGTGAAATGCAGCCATAGATGATACATAAATAGGTAAATAGATCGGTTTCAATAAAACTTTATTTAGAAAAACAGCTCACTGGTGCTTAGGCTAGAATTTGCCAAATCCTAATCTAGTGCAGTGGCTCAAAAGAACTTTGTAGCTAGAATGACAGGGATTAAAAATCTGAAACTATCATATATTCTGCATCTGTAGAATGGGGAGAATGTTACAAGGTAGTGCTGATGATGTGGAAAATCACTGTCAACTCCTGAACAGAGTTGAACATGGGTTCACCCATTTACCTGGTTGTTACCTTGCACCCCCACAGTGTTTTGCTGTTATGGGCAGCCTGACACCTCCCAAACCCTCTGTGTCCTCTGATGGAAGTATATCTCCTTCCAGAATATTCTCTGATCTCTCCCACCCTCCCTGAACTTCCCACCTCAGCTCACAGCAGCCCCTGAAAATAGCTGCTGTGAGCAGCTTCTGCTAACCCCGCATATGCCAACTACTCAACAGATTCTGATCCCTAAATCTCCACCATATCACCAGAGTCAGATTCTAATCCTCTGTACTATCACACTGAGATTTTAAGTGTGATTAAAGTCCTGCCTCCCCAACAAGTCTTTAAATCCTTCAGGACAGGATCTTGGAGTCCCAGAGGTGCTGAAGTCAGTGCATGTC